TTTGGACCAGCAGCATTTTCAGCTTCTGAGACACCTGAGATATTAGAACAACTTGTTAAATACTTTAAAACTAAAAAACCTACTATTAGCTTTTATAGATATTTGTTATCAATAAATCAATTTGACATGCAAATGTTAAAAGATGAGTGGAATAAAGAATTAGAGGTTTCTATATTGCTTAGACAATGGGAGAATGTCTTAACTTCTATAGCAAGAGTGTCAATGGACCTTAAACTATGACTTATATAACAAAAAATAATATTTAGAATATTTTAAACTCCATTTGTATAGAAAAGGACTGTCTAAGAGAGCATTTTGTTGGAGATGTAACAAGGACAATGCTTCTTTAAAACACATCTTTTTACAATGTCCTATACTTACTAAATTTTGAGAGAAAGTAGTGGGCCATATAAACGTGACTGTGGGAAAAGCTAAAATTTTCAGAGGATAATGTTCTCTTGAATTACATGCCTAGTACATGGAATTTGACAACTGGACAATGTAAATGGATTCTCCATGCCCTTACTATGGCTAAAAGACTGATATTGCAGCACTGGAAAGATAAATATTTGGCCCCATTCACTCAGTGGATTGAAGATCTGATTACACTTGCCACCTATGAGCAGATTGCCTAGACATAAATTTTGTATGGACAACATAATGACGTATGGGACTCATTTATACAAAATATAGTAGGTTAGGAAAAAGCATGATAGTTATATAATTGTAATATAAATATATATAGAATTGTAACTGTTTATTGTTGTAGCAACATATTATACTTTACATTTTTTATTATTTTTCTGTTGCATTTTTTCCACTTATTTTTTAAGCGCTTGTTATGTAACTGTTTTTTTTAATAATGTATGTATCTTTCTGTTTTGTTTCTTTTTGTTTAGTTATTTCTTTTTGTTATTGCTATAAAAGAAAAGAAAAAAAGAAAAAGAAAAAGAAAAAAAGAAAATGCTGTTTTGCCACCAGATTTTTGAGTTGCACTTTCAGGGTACTGGGGAACCCACATGAGGGTTGCAACCCTGCCCTAAGTAAAGGTTTTTGGTTTCCAAATCAATTGTTTATATGAAACTGCAAACAGAACTGCTGTAATGAATTCTATTTAAATTCAGGAATAGAATACAGGAACTATCCTTGAGCAAATTAGACCATTGAACCACATCACTCAGCAGTGTCACCACTGGCAGGGAAGTCTGTCTTATCTAGAACCTTTTGCATGGAAAGAAGGTGCAATTTCCATCACTAAATGATGCGGTCGTAAAGTGCGACATCATGTGACTGCATCATTTAAAAAAGAGATAGGATAAACAATGAATGGATGTAGAATGAATGTGGACTGAATGTAAAAGTGAGTGACCAGTATAAAAGAAATACATAGAGGTGGTTTGCTCATATGGAAAGAATGAATGAGGATGACATTACAAAACAAATATATGAAGTAGGAGTGGATAGGATGAGAAGAAAAGATGGAGAAAGTCATGAGCAGATGGAGTTGATGAGACAGCTAAAAGGATCTGAGGCTCATGCAAGATAATTTAACATTCAACATGCTTTCATAGTGAACATGAGTGGCTATAATCCAATTAAATACACATTATAAATATAATTTATCTGTTATTAATGAAATGTCCCAATCAACATTTTCATGATGTACTTTTATCTGAAAATATGACTTTGAGAGAGTCAGTACACTGCATGTGCCTCCAAGTGATAGGATATGGGTATGCTGGTTTTAAAAGGTTTAACTGAATTATAGATCATAGCTTGCACAGAATAGAAGAACATGTTTGGGTAAAACTGGACTTTGGTTTAGGTATTGATTGACAGGTAGCAAAAGTCAGTCTCCATGGGCCCATCTTTTTCTGCACCTTCCATACAGTGGCTTACATATACACATACAAGTTTTGTATAAACCCAGCAATCAGAAATCATTTAAACAGAGATGTTACCTTCTAACCACGTCTTTATTTTCTTTTACTTTTTCTTCTTTCAGCTCAGCCCATTTGTACTGCATGCCAGATTTTTTAATGATGTCTTTGATCCAATTTGTTTCCAAGATTGAATCTGGTTCTAGTGAATCTAAATCTATGTCTGTGTTCAGCAGGGCTTCATACACATGATCTGAGTATAAAAACAGAACATTCATTGAGCAATGATCCAACCAAGGAACAGGCTTACGATAAAGCAGCACTAACTGGAGAAAATCTTTGTCATGTAAGATCAAGGATCTACAGCCATCAGATACCTTGATGCTCTGTCAGATTTCAATGTTATCATTACCACATTGATAAATACGTTTATGCCGTGAAAAAAGACTAAAGGGAATCAATTGAAGAATTAGAACAATTTCTATGCTAAATTCTTATAATTTAAACTTGTTTTCAGATGAAAGCAGTTTAGGTGCACAGGAAGCAGATGGCTGAAAAATACTCCAGAGAATCAAAGACATTTGTACAAGCATCCCCTGTGAAGCCTTTGTGATATTGGAAATGAAGGAAATACTGAAACAATTAAAAAAGCTAATGAGTGACTTAAGCTCTGCTCCAAAACTCTCCAATAAGCAGATATTTATCACATGTTCCTGCTTCATGTTCTTAAGGAATAGCATGCATTTGTCCCAAGTAGCATGCACAGGTATTCCTCGATATTAACTATAGTTACTGGGACCGGAATTTCCATCGCTAAATGATGTGGTCGTAAAGTGTAACATCATGTAACTGCATTGCTTAGTGATGGCAATACCAGCACTCCCTACTGCCATCATTAAACAAGGACCCCCTCACAACTTCCTGCTGGCTTCCAACAAGCAAAGTCAATGGGGAAGCTGTCAGGAAGTTGTGAGCTCCAGGCAGTGTGCAAGCAGGCCGGCAGGCAGGCAAGTTGTTGCTGCTGGGTTGGGGAGGGTGCATGGGTGGCTGTCAAGGTGCAGCAGGTCAGGTGTGGCTGCTTCCAGATGGGGGAGGGTGGGGAGGGTGTATGGGTGGCCCCTGAGGTGCAGTGTGGGCACGGCAGGGGTGGCTGCTGTTGGGTGCACAAGGGTGCAAAAGGGTGCGCAGGGGTATGAAGGGTAAATACAAAAAGAAAATGGGGGGTTAATCTGAACTGTGTGTATTTGTCTGTACACAAAGATCAGAAACTATGACCTGGAATAAGGAAGAAATCAGAGGTTTTTGCTAGCCAGTGTCCTGTGGTCTTTTTTCTGTAGTAGATGCCCCTACATTTGAAATTGTAAATATGTGAGATTCACAAGTGAAGCTGCACCACAAAGACTTCAGTCAGGAATCAGCTGAAAGGATGATCAAGGAATTGCTCCATTTTTAAATTCCATGCATTGTTTGAAGGAACAAGCTCACCTATATCTTTATGCATCACTTTTGCAAGCTCTTCCACAGTCATTCTGGACCTTATCTCAACCTTTTGTTTCTTTGCTCTCAGCTGTACAGGTTTCAGTTTCTCTTTGCCCAATTTCTCTCTCTACAATGGAATTTAAGAACAATATATTTAGTTACTGGATCAATTCATTTTCTGGGTTTCTATAATACACTAAGCCTCAAACTAAGGGGCTGGATTCTCATGAATCTCATGAAAGATATGAACTTAAACTAAGCCACTATATATTAAATAAGCCACAATGTTTTTCAAACTACATTGACTGGGTTCACACAACACACTGAGCCAAAATGAAACAAGAAACCATGATTTAGAGTGATGTGAACTAATGCAGTTCCTCTGAGGGAAACTATACCTGCTCAAAAGTTCAACCCTACTTAGTTTCTAGTATCAGTCAAGATTAGCTGGGTGATGTCATCTGCTATAGACCTGTATTGGAATACTGGTGATTAGGACTGCAAATTAGGCAGTGAGCTGCTTGGGGATAAAATGAAAAAAGAAATATGATACAACTGCTTGGAGAAAAGAGGGCTGTATCCTCCTATACTAAATTGGCCAACCCTAAAACCATTTTTGTGGCCCCTGGAACTCACTCTGAATATCATTGCTAAAAAAGGGCATATAAATTTTAAAAATAAACAGTAAGATTCTCTACTCCCTGAGGGAAAAAAAGTTCTGTGACCATATGTGTTTTTTCACCCACATTTCAACCTTCCGTCTCCCCCCAAATGCTAAGGTTGCCTGTCTGGGCTCATGGCAATGAAGCTGAACTAACTCCTTTTCTACTCCAACTGTTAATTCCTTACCTTACCAAAGCTAGGCTTGACTAAAGCTTGGCAAAATAACTTCTGCTGAAAACCATTTTAATACGTGCCCAGGGAAGTCCACATATTCTCCCAGGAAGCTGACACATACAGCAGTGTGCAAAGATCTCCCTGGGCTCACATTTACTGAATAGAATACTGATGCTTGAAAAGGGCACAGCATCAAGTGAACCCAGAACTCTTCCCCTTAACTACATTTCAAAACATTTGTGAAAAGTAAAGAATGTAATGAACTGGTTGTGTCACACTGATGCATTTTGGACAGGTTGCTCTTCTTCCTCAAGGCGAACTGGGCAAAAAGCATGCCCATGGTTGTTTGGAAAGTTTAAGACATTTATACAGTATGTATCTCTATTGCATTATTTGCCTTTAGAAGCTTCAGTGGAGATCCCTCTATAAACAACATTGTCTTTTATTTCTTAGCTAGAGGCACACAAAATTCCTTCAAGGCAAGAATAAAGTAACTGTTAATTACCTCCTTGGTGGTGAAAAGCCTGAATTGTGAGGTGGTGTCTGGCTGCCAGGGCAGAGGGTGCAGCTGAACTGGGCACATGGGATAGGCAGAGGACAGGACAGACTTCCACTGTTTTCCGTGTGCCAGGGAGCGCAGCTGCCTGCAAGCCCGGTATAAATGGGCCAAATTCTCTAGTGGTGGCATCCAGTTCATGTTTCTCTCTGTAACCAAGAAAAGACAGGGCTTGAATGAAACGTTTTTCAGGTGGACAGTCTAAAAAGATGTACACTGGAAGCAAAGGAGGAATGGAGCTGCTGTACCTTCCTTCTACAACTTGGCTTATCTGGAAAGAAAAGCTGCACTCTGTAAAAAACTTGTTAAGCCAGTATTCAAAAAGACAAAGGTCGTAACTAATTTTATGCATCCTGATCGTAAAATTAGGATACCAGTAGCCGGCCGCAAAGTGTCTTTCTGTATCTTGCTGCTGCCATTTTGTGGTGCTCATGATTTTTGCAGCCCGTATCTGGTGTGGCTCTAAATAAAATAGTAAGCTGTCAAATTTGGAATCTGGCACTTTAACAAAGAAGGGATATGCCTATAAACTGTCGTCGTTCATAAAACGCATCCCCTAAGAAGGTAAGATGACACTCAGGGCATCATCTTAGGAGAGCTGGCCCCTTATGCCATATTTGCTGCTATCTGTCCTCTCTTTGGCGTAACAGAACAACGAAGCTACCCTTTTGCAGGATGGCGGCAAACAATATTAGAGAAACAGAGGAAGGGAGCACACGCGCAGCTCCTGAAAGAAGCCACCCCTGAGATGTCCAGACACTGAAAGAACAGCCAACTCTCCTCCAGGCTTTCGCTGTGGTCTTTTTTTTTTTTTAACGCAGCGAGCCCTGCCTGAATTACCTTCCGTCTCTTTTGCGCTTTACCACCGCCCAGCCGGAAGATGGCGCACGCCCCCCTCAACCAGTCACTCCTCTCTTCAACTGCTCCAAGCCGTGTGCGCGCGCCTCCCGCTTGCAGCAGTAGCGTTAATACCCGCTACTGACTTTTCTTGTCACACTATTCTTCCGTGACGTCTTCGGCTACTTGCTTCTCCGGACGAATCTGTTCAGCACGAATAAAAAATGTAAGTGCAGTGCTAAAAGGGTGGGGGAACCCCCCCAAACCCGCCCAGTCTAGGCAATTGGGCATGCGCAATTTTTGGCGCATGCTCAGTATCAGTCCCCAAAGCCCCGTGACTTTCACTTGCTCTCATGTCAGGTAAGGGCAAAGGCTAGCTCGCAGATCACGTGGTTCAAAGCGATCCGGGTTCCGTCCCTTGCGGAGCCAATGGAAGGGTACAAATTAGGACACCCTTAACAAAAAAACAAAAAAAATCTAAAGATTGCCCGGAGAAGCTTTTTGGATGTAGGCTGAAGTGGGATACATTGTGACTAAGGCTTTGGTTCGAGGTTGACTCCCGATAACAATGTGCACTTAGGGATACCCGTCTTCTTCAGTATAAAGCAGTTTCATTATTTTTCTAACATGTAATTTTTAACTACTGCGTTTACATGTTTACAGACTAATATTTCTTGCACATTATTGTAGTGGTTGGGTTTGTGGTTTTTTTGCATTTTTAAAAGCCATACATTACATTAACAGATGCTTTTCATATATATTTCTTTTTGAAATATGGCCTAGCAGGGTACTTGCTACTCTTAGAACTTGAACTGTAGACTGAGGGGCTGGAAGGATAAAAGACTAAAACATTTGCCAGAATTTGTATCCTTTCTTGGATATAATATAAAGTGTTGGTTAAAGAGCTGGATTAGGAGTGGGGAAAGGCAGGTTCTAGTCCTCCTTTAGACACAGAAGCCGGCAGGGTGACTTTGGGCTAGTCACTCAGGCCTAAACTGGGAAATCAACGAACATCTGCTTACTAAGTCCCAGTAGACCAGTATGTTACAGTCCATAACCACATCCTTAAGTGAATTGATTTGGAATAATAACGATGATGATGATAATAACGGGTATCTTGGGGCTCTTCTTATGGCAGCACTGAACTCTGTTATCCAGCATGCGAGTTGGCGGGGAAGTATACTGACACAAAGAAGTGCTGATTGCATTTCCAAACTCTACTCTGCCTTGCCAAGGAAGCAGAATAGGGGCTCTGTCTGCCCAAGAAATGGGGGAAAGAGTGAGGTGGGGAACCTCTGTCATTCCGATATCTGATAGAAGATCAGTTCTCTGACCCATGGGATTCAGGATCAGAGAACTGGTACTAAAAGAGCTATACACTCTGCCACTTCTGTATCCCCACTTCTCTTGCTATGGGTGTCAGGTGAAGCAGGGTGGGGAGAAAGAAGGGAAATAGATTTTCTGCTGATAGACCTTTGCACCTGAGGACCTCTCTAACTTCTACCACTGAAGAGAAATAGGGCATAGAAAAGACCCAGCTCCCCATTCTCTTCTAAACCCCATTGTCGTGCCATGAAGCAGCAATGAGATAAAGAGATCAGCAGGGGAATGTTTACCAAAATACTAAAAGAAAGAAAGAAAGAAAGAAAGAAAGAAAGAAAGAAAGAAAGAAAGAAAGAAAGAAAGAAAGAAAGAAAGAAAGAAAAAGAAAGGGAAAGGAAAG